CAAGAGGTCTGGGACTCCCATTCCAGTTTTGTCACTGTCAGCTCTCTCTGATTCAAGTCCCTGGGTAAACTTAGAACAATTATATCTAATTCACAGAGTAGTGGTGATTAATTTAAATAATTATTACAAAATACTGGCACACGGAAGATACTCAGTAAATGTTATTTCCTACTCCCCCCCTCACCTAACTCAAGGCATGTCCTAGTAGGCAAACTTAGTTTCTGGTTCTCTTCCACAGATCTTTTTAGCACCTCTACCTCTTGACATGATCTATCACACATTCTGAAGTCTTCCTCTCTTTCTCCAAGAAAATTTCTGTGGCCTTTCTGTCTGGGGCATAATGGCTCTCTACAAAGCTGGTTAATGGGTTTAGCAATTCTTGCACATTTTGGAGGGGAGAGGGTCATAGATGCTAAATGTCTTGCAATACTCAAGAAATTCCATACTACAAAAAATTATCCTGCCATGATGTCAATAGTGCTTACCACTGTCAGGAATTCTTTAATAGAGAAATTTCGAAAAGTCTTATGGTGAAGACACGGAGAGAAAGGACTTCTTTGTGATACCATATGATGGCCACTCTTCTGTCTCTATGTAGTCTTTGGCTAGCCCATCTCCCTTATATAGTTCTGTAAGAGAAAAAAACCTTGCGCTTCTATCTTCCCCCCAAGTAACTGGACCATGTCCCACCACACTCTTACCCCTAGAACTCTGCCCACTCTTTCTACACATCTGACCTCATGGTCTAACCACATATAATAAACTCTGTGGTAATCATCTCATGGGTTAAGGCCATTTCTTTTCACTTAAAGTGGTGATGATTGACCTGGGAAGCAATAATTAAATCTGGGTATAGATAAACAGCAGGCAAACTTGCACAACCAAATGCCTCATTACAACCTGGTCAAAGTTAAAACAAACGACACAAAAACCCCTCACTCAAGTGTGTTTAGTTCAAAGACAATCACTTCTAAGTGTAAAACGGCCTCCTATTCATTTGGATATCATAAAGTTAGAAGTTTATGCTGCCTAATTTAGAAAACTGTTCACTGATGCATATTTATATTTCTGTTTAAAAACTCGAGTGTTAAATCTTTTCCCCTAAAGAGACATTGAGTTGATCAAAGATACAGGATTGTCCTAATTCTTTTCAAATGTAGACCATCTTTTAAAAGTTACAGCAGGAAACTTGTCTATGATTAAATAAAATTAACTCATATGATGCTTGCAATTTAAGATTCTTATCTTTTTGATAGTACTAATCTCAAAGCATTTTATTACTGGATCAAGTCCTTTTTCCCATAGCATGGGTTCTATATCCAGGATCTAGCAGGTCACAGGTTTGCCTTTCAAAGTATACAATTTATGGAATAAAACTCCTCCAAGGCTGAGCTAAAAAGCACAGAAGGTTCTGGAGTGCAGCAGTCTGCCTTAAATCCTGTGTATTCACAGGCACTGGGCATCTGGCCCTCTGGCTCCAAACCAGGGAAGTTGCTTCAGAATGAGCTGGTTCGTCCCTGGGGTGATTTAACCTTCACTCCTCAGACAGAGCTCATTTAAGTATTTTGTTCTTCAGATCCAGTTTTTGGCCCCCTTGTTCTGGAGGGGCTCTCTAAACCTCTTATTTTTTGTCTTATGACCCACAGAGGACCTCTCTAATTAGAATGGAAGAAGCAGATGAAGCTGTACCTAATCACTTTTCCATGAGGCTGAAATCTCTGACATCTCCTCTGCCTTTCAGCTGGGACATTTTGAATCAGCCATAACTGGTCTGATTTTCCCCATTTGATGTGATTACATGAGCGCAGTGTATCAGGAGGCCTAAACAAGACACACAGGGTGGTTGCGAACTAGGGCTTCTTATTCCTTAAGATTAAAAGATATATGATAATTCTGCTTCCCAAGGCCCGAGGCATCAAATTTCTCTCAGTGCAGACTTCCCTCAAATTGGAAAGGAACTGTTATTAAAAACATTATTAATGATCTTCTCTTTCCAAGTAGGGCCCCACTGCCCCTCAGTCAGACAGAGCTGCTTTCCTGCTGCCTGAAGACCAGTTCTTTGGAAACTAGACAGCATCTCGAAGGAGAAGGATATACCTGGTCATACGTATTCTCACTGGGTCCTTTCCTGACTCCGATCCCCACCATGATGCTGCCCAGTAAATGACTGGCAAAAATCAGTCCTCTCCACCAATGACTTGATTGGAAGGAGTACTGTCTCAAACCTTATCTCCCATCTACCTCACAATCATCTAAGAGGGCCATATTATTTCTTCCACTTCACACATGGGGAAACAGTGGTCCTGCTTCTATAAGTGACCAAGAGTCAGGGGAAGCAGAACTCAGACTCAGACTGGAACCCGCTGTCTGGCCCCAGGACCAACTTCCGGCCACTGCCCTGCAGCTGGCTTCGCTTATTGGCTCCCTTTCTGGCAGCAGCAGGGGTGCCTTCTGTGCCTGAGCCGTTGTTTACTGAGTGGTGCTGGTGAGTTGACTGCATGAAGCCAGCGAGCATTAACTTGCAACTAATGTAGGTCTCTTCAGCTTTGTCTATGACGTTTTTTCATCGGACAAAGCTATATAGGACACTAGTTTGGGTATTTATTTTCATTCAGCCTCCAGACCACAACTGGAGAGCATGTTGCTGCTGGTTCTTAGCAGGTCAATTAGTGGGTGAATGCTGGTATCCTCCGGGAACCATATCCTACTTTACAATATTTGGCCTACACAAACACCTTTAAATTATAGGAATTGCACTATAACATATTACATACCCGGGTCCATACAATCAAAGGGAACTACCCTAATTATGTTCCACAAAAAAAATGGCTCAATGAGGTCCTGAATTTTGGGGGTAATTAAGGGCAAACCAAAGCTGCTTGTCAGAATTACCCAGTTGCATGTGATTTTCTGTGCTCTGTAGACAAGCCCTATAAACTTTAGTAATTCTTTTGTGTACTTTATATATTTTCATATATGTTTATCTTTACAGGCTTATGTAAATTTTTACATTTTACAGGCTCAGTTACTTCTGTGGGTACTTCCAGACTTAAATGAAATGGTTGCTTCATGAACTACAGATTCAACATTTATAAGATTCATCACTAAAGGCAGGAGTGGGCCTTCTCAAAAACAGATTGTCGATTCACTCTTCTGCCTAGGACATTGACGACACACACTAGGAGCAGCATGTGCAGATGGTGTAAGACCAGCAGACAGAATCCTCCAACTGCAGGAGGAGAACACCCTAATTGTTATTTCAGTGGCCTTTGGCATTTCATTACTCTTGCCACTGAGTTGCACTTCTTCCTTTCCCTGCAACTAAATCATTCTGAATAGGGAAGAAATATAATAAACTAAAATTGAATGGATCTGTTCTTCTCTCTTCTATGAAAGCAACAACGGGCTGTGTTAAATATTATCCTCTGACTTTTTATTGTAATATTTTCCTGCATCTAATCACTTTCTCTTCTGCTGTCTACAGCTGAATAGACAACTGGAAGTCAGCTGCATAGCATCCAGTGCAATGGGTTTTTTAAATGGTTTGCTGCCTGCTAATTGTGTGACATTGTCCCTCATTCTGTTCTGTGAATGGACTATCCCGTATACTGGAGCTGAGCAGACAGCTCAGCAGTTTGCCACCACTGGTTTTCTAGACAAGCAAGCATTCCCTCTGTCATCCCTGCAGTCAAGGTTAGGAAACCAGGAAGTAGAGAGCTGGGAAAAGTCCTAACTTCTAGGATGTCCCAGTGCTGAAGTTCTCACTAGGGCACCACTGTCCCAAATCATCAGAGTTCCCTCCAAAACCAATGTCCAGTCTCATCCTCATTAATAGTTTTGGTCACCCATGTGAATTCTTTTTACTGCCAGAGGTGGGGGGGAAATGCCTTCATTTTTATGATTTTTTAACTCTGTCATTAGAAATGTTTGAAGCAGCATTCCACCCTCAGGTTGCATTGTGTGGTTATGAACTTCATTTGATCACTGCTTCATCAATTTGACACTGACTGCGGCAATTTATAACTGTTCCAGCTTTCCATCTATTATGGGACCTTCTGCATTGGAAAAAGAAAGAGGGGGAGGGGAGACCTCTGCTGCCCAGGGGAAGTTTAAAAGAATGTGATGTCTTGTTAAAACTTGAAGGGACAGTGAACAGAGGGAGAGGGAATCTCTGAAAACAGCAAACCAAAGCCCAGTAACGAATAAAGCCTTGCTCCTGCTGTGAGCATCAGTGACCTGGCATGTCCTGCAAGGCTGGGGAGTGAATAATTCACTGTGGAGTCATAGGCCTCCTGGTAGGCCACAACATTGCTTTGTCTTACAAATATGTTCTCCCACATAATCAGACTTGACAGGCAGGTTTTCTCCAGAACTGTTTAAACAAAAGCCCTGTGTGGTGGAAAGAGAACCTTGTGATTTTGGCACAGGGCTCCCAGCACTGAGATTCCTGGTGAGTACTGGGCTTGCTAATAAATCGGCAAGCATCAAAGCAAAGGCAATCACAAACGGAACAGGTAAGAAGACACCAAGGCCTTATTCACCTCTGATATAAGTGTGATGAAGTCAGGCAAGAATGCATTTTCAACACACATTCCCATTGAAGGCATGTTCGTTGACTAACTTGGACCCACAAAATGAAGAAAGTATAGTGTAGCTGAGACTCTCAGGTGACTTTTTGACCTTGACTCTTGCAATTTAATTAAAATATATAAAAACGTGTCTCTCTTTGAATTAAGAACCAGAAAATCATTGAGATTGTTTAGTTGAATTTACTCTTTCTGGTAGCTTGAAAGTAGACTATAGAGGGTTTTGGGAGGCTAGGGCAATTGGTTGGTTCTCTTTGGTTTTAAAAGAAGGAGGACCTTAGTGTGAGGCCAAAGAATAAAATAGCCTGAGTTCTCCACCCCTTTTTTTCCTGTAAGAGGACCAGGCAGCCATGAAGAGATGAATGAAACAGAAAGAAGTTAGAGCCAGCCTCAAAGAACATCTCGCAGACTTACCTCATTCCGTGTGTTCCCTTTTGCCATCTGAGGAAGGGAAGTACCACAAAGACCTGGAAAAATACAGAGAGATTACTCCTATAGGGTATCTGATACCTCCTCCTAGAGATCGGTATTTCTGTAACTTATCTGATATTCTAAGTACAAGAAGGGGATATGTTGTGTTTGAACCAAGTTTTACCTGGTTCTGAATTAACACTTAAGCATAACTAAATTGCTTATTGATATGTATGTACCAAAAACTGGAAATTAAGCTAAACAGATCTTGAAACATAGACTCCCAAGCAAAGCTCCCAAAACTTTGAGTAGAGACTCAGACCTTGGCCCATCTCATGGGAAAAGGCTCTAAAAACCCTAAAACAAGGATAGCACATGTTTGTTAATTTTCATAATTTTCTTAATTTTCACAATTTGCTGTTTAAACTTAATTTTAGGATTGAGAATCACAAAATATCTTTATAGGATTTGATTAGAATTACACTAATTTGAGAGCTATCATCTTTATAATATTGAATTGTCTTAGTCATGTACATTACTTTCTCCATTTATTCAGTTTTCTTTTATGTCTCTCAATGTTTTATCTTTTCTCCATGAAGATTCTGCACATTCTTTATTAGATGTATTTCTATCTACTTTCTATTTTTCGTTCTTATTGGAAAAGGGATATTTCAATCTATTTCATTTCCTATTTGTTCCAGAACGTTATTGGTATTTTTATGTTGATCTTATAGCCACCGACTAATGTTGCTTAATTTTTATTATTTCTAAGAATTTCCTCATACATTATTTTTTGCTCTTCCAGGTAATGAATCCTATTACCTGCAAATAAGAATAATTTGCTATCTTCCTGTTTAATCATTTTTTCTTTCATTTGCCTTGTTTCATTGGCTGGAATCTCTGGTACAAAGTTGAAAAGAAATATGAACTAAGGGCACCCTTGAGTTCTTCCTGACTTAATGGTTATGTTGCTAAGGTCTCACTATTAAGAATGATGTTTAGTTCAGATGTCTGGCAGGTACGCTTCATTAGGGAAAGGAAATCTTCTATCCTTATTTTATAACAGTTGTAATCAGAATTGTCATTATATTTTATCAAATGCTTTTTCTGCATCTTTTGAGATGATGAAAATTACCAGCAGTCTGTGGTACTTTTTATAATTTTAATCCAAAGACTCATGTCTCTCTTCAATTGGGGGACATTTTTTAATCATCATCTTTTGAAATACTGATTCTCCAACATTATCTCTATTTTATTCTTCTCAAATGCCTTGTAAAGATATTTTGGAGGCTTTTAGTCATTCTCTTTTTTTTGTAACTGTTCTTTTTTCTTAAATTTTTTCTTAACTTTTACCAGATCTGGTTTCATAATTTCTCATCCTTTTTAATGAAAATCATTCTTTCATTTATCTCTTTGAGCATTCTAAACATACTTATGTCAATGTTTTATTCAGACTACTTTATGAAGTAAACTCATGAAGATTAGTTTTGTAACTGTTGCTTTTATATTACTGAACTTTTGATTTATTTATTCCTTTTGGAAATTGTTATGCATCTGGTAAAAAGAGTGTATAGCAAAGCTTCACTACAATTGAGTTCATAAAATAAATGTATACAAATAAAATACATGTTTAACAGGTTACATATTAAAATTCTGCATAAGTCTTATGCCTGAAAGAAGTATTTTATTTCAAAAAAAAAAGTTTGAAAACCACTGTAATCCACTAGAATCTCCAGTCCTGGGGAATACAATTTTCCTTAGAGCACTCATTTTAAGAATGCAATAGTTAGTGTTTTAGGTACATTTCATCTTGTAAGAGAAGGTTTTCTCCCACCTGGGCTCATTACTTACTGAGGAGAGGGGATGCCAACATTGTGCTGAGGCAGTTCTACGCAAAAGAAAGTCCAAAAGTGGAAACCAGAGACTTCTGTAAGGCCAGCGTCATGCTTTCTCACTCGTGAGCACAGCATCCTCTTACTCTCATGTCCCTCTTTAAGGTTATGCTTTCTTGACTCTTTTTCCTATTTAGACTTATCTTACCTTGAACATATCTTTCAGCTTTTAATCTTCCATCTCAACCTAGACAGGCAAGGGGCATGCTCATAGCTGGCACATGCACCAACCTAGCTCTTCCCAACCAATGAGATTTGAGACCAAAGCCTCTAGAACAAACAGGGTGTATTTGTTCAAATTTTTATCTCTGTTCTGCATTCTTCTCTTCAGAATCTATAGTAGCACTTGTGAAATAATTGAATATTTAGCTTAAGGCTTCTATATTCCTCTTCAATTATCCAAAAGAAGTCTCAATACCAAGACTTGCCCTGGAAACAAAACCAAAAGTCACCCCACACCCCATCTTGTCACTACCACATTCCAAAAGTCACTCCACATTCCCTGCCTTGTCACTACCCTAATCAGAGACATAGCAAAGCACCTGAGGAATACTTGATTCAACCTTTTCCCCAATCCTGGAGAAAAGATTTGGAGACCCTCATGATGTAGGGTTCTAGCAGGGCCATTGTAATGAAATGACTACAGGAAAGTTCTAAGACTCCCTGCCACTCGGTTCCTGTCTCTCAGATCAAGAAGTTGTCAGGCACTTCCAGCCCTTTCAGACTTCAATTTTTCTTCCCATGAACAGAACTAAATAAGTTATTTTCACAGAATTATCCTGGTTTTTTTGATTAACACTATCCCACATTGTTCACCACTCTGTAGTCTCTCTCTCTCTGGCCTTCAACAATCCTCTTTTTTCCCAGAAAGTATTCACAAGGTATACATACTTCTGTAATCACAGTGCCAAGAACTTCCTAATTTCCTTCAAAACATCGAAAGCCTCCTACAATGTCCCCAAAGACTGTTCCTGCTCCACTGACCTCATCTTGCATGGAAACCCACAAGGCACACTGTAGAACCATACTAGCCACCTTAAGCAGTACAAAAGTGGTACAGCACATGATCAGAGAAATGGTCTTTGAAAAGCAAGGGTGAATAAATGCTCCCTGAACCCCAGACTCATCACACGTAAAGAGGGCTGATGGTATCTGCTTTTTTGTGATCATTGGGAGAATTAAGTAAAATAATTCTAAAGCAGAGCAGGTGCTCAGAAAATGGTATTCTCATTCTACTCACAATCAAGGCCCATTACCCACATGGTAGAATAGGAGACGAGACAATTCTTAATCAGAGCTACCTGTCTGTGGTAGAGAGAACATTTAGTCAGCCTATATTAAACACTTTCTTTATGCCAGTCATTCTTGTAAGCACGTTGCATAGTGCTTATTATCTACCACCTTATAGATGATGTTTTGGAGACCTAGAGTGGTTAATCCAGTCACCCAAAACTGCAGAGACAGGTTAAGTTTAAGAGGATCAGCTATAGATACCAGAGTAAATAAAACTTGTATGTGCTGAAAGTTAGCAAAAGTATACATATATAAAGGACTGAGGTTTGTTTGGGTACAGAGAGAAATTAGATATAGGAAGTAACCCAAATGACATAAGACTGACATAACAAACTTAGATATTTGGGTCATATATCAAGCATTGTAGAAATACGTGTAGAACATAGGAATACATGTGAAAAGGCAGTTGGGAATGTGAACACAGAAGTACACAAAGGTGTAATCTGACCAGAACATAAACAATGGACCAAGAGTTCAGTTTTTAGTCATTCTGAGCTAAATTTACTGTTAAAAACTGTTAAAAATAAGGAATGATCTCTATCACATCCAGACTGAGAAAAGTTCAAGTTTTGCAGACCAATTTAAATGTTTAATCTAATCAATTTTGAAAAACTTGAGGTTATCCGTGAATATTTATGAAGGATCTTGTTGTGTTCCTAAACTTTAAAAGTGATATCACAAGTTTCAATTTCTTCCTAAAATGCAAACAAGCTACTCATATTATTAAATGTTGTGTTTTTGTCTCTTAAACAGTCTGAATGCTGGTCTCAAGTCAAACCCACATCTCTTTTCCCACTATGCAGTTAAGTCCCTATCTAGCTGAGTATCATACCAGGGGCACAGCTGAATCAACAATAAGAGAAAAGGACAGACTTAAACTGGCCCTGGGGGACAGACTGAAACTGGCCCTACCAGGCGAAGCGGGCAGTCACTTTGTTCCATGTGACAGGGAGACACTCACTGCAGGAAGCAGAGCCCAGTGTCCAAAGTACCAGGCAATGGACAATAGATGTGGTCCAGTAGACCTGTCAGTATCAGGAAGCCTCATCAGGGAGGCCTAACATGGAATCTAGGTGCTAAAACAGGAGATAGAGCAGAGCTAGAGGATCCAGGAGGAGCTGGTAGTTGGCAATGAAGGCAGGAATCAAGCATAAGAAAAGTCTGTCTTCACATAGCAGAAGAGTGTAATTTCTAAAAGCAAAGACCCAGATGTGACTGTGTTCACATCTCAGCAAGGGCTCAGTGATATTAGGCAAGTTATGCAACCTCTTTGAGCCTCCACTTATCTACTTATAAATGGGGATGTTAATATTATCTACTTTATAAATTCTCTGTAAAGACTGAGTAGGATGATGTATGTAAAGCACTTAGTACTGTACCTGGCACATAGTAAGTACTAATAGATGATGATGATTGATGATGATGATGATGATGATGATGATGATGATGATTCAGGGCTTCTGTCACCTGTCTGTGAATAGTGAACTGATCCAGGCACTGGAAAGTAAACCAACAAGAGCAGGAGAGGAATCAGCCTTCGATGGACTGGGGCTCTAGGCGACTTTGATGAGGAGTCAGGCATTTGGGAACAAGATGCACCAGGGATACGAAGATTGGATGAGGGCACAAAGGAGAAGTATCGGAAGCTCAGTTTTCAGAGGTGGGACACAAGTTCTAAGCCAGACACAAAGCTAGACCAGCAGAAACAGTGATTTGACACTGAACCCCAGAGTCTTGGGTGGAGCTCCTTCATGCCTCTGTGGAAGGTCAGGGCTGAGCTGGCAGGGGGTGGGGAGCAGCTAGTGAAGACAATAGAGGGTAGAGACCAAAGCAGGTGAAACTCCTGAGCTAGCGTTCTCTACACTCTACAC